GAGGTGCCCCAGACCCCTCTGTGTGCTCTGATAAACCTAGAGGCCTCTGGAAAACGTCTGGAATACTGTGGGGGTGTAGCACGAAGCGTTCCTTGCAAACACACCCTGAAGTGCGGGCGGAGGCGTCTGGGATGCCCCTTGCTGCAAACAGCCCTGGCTGGCGATGGCCCCCGAGCTTCGGGGGCGCCTGGGGACAACCCATCTGCCTGGGAGCAGGCGAGGGTGGCATCGCCGTACTGCAAGTGTCGGATCCTGCCATCACTTTGCAGCTGAACGGGTGGATCAAACCCTCTCCCGCGAGGGTGCCGAGGAGCCCGGTCTGGAGCTTGAGCAGCCGGGAGCAGGACGCTCATGGCATCCCCTTCCCGTGGTTTCTGTGGTGGAGCCCCAGAGTTGGTTTTGTGTGTTGAGATTTGAGGGCCAAAACCAGCGTCGGCTGGGTGTTGTTTTGGCTGTCCGAGTTGCCGTAGTGCGATCTGGGGTTGTCCCCTGGGAGGCTGAGAGCTGGTCTGGAGTGTGTGATGGTGTGGTTTTGGGGCCGTAGGTAAGGGAGTTGGATCCCTTGTGTTAGACTCATCTTCCTGCACTCGGCGAAGGGTTCTGTCTGCTCTGGGTCTCCCAGTCAGCCCAGGTTTGTTTTCTTTTTATTGGTACTCGGGAATTGCCCTAATCATTCCCATCCTCCCCCTTCCTCTTCATCACAATGATGCTGAAAACAGGATGAGGTTTGGATTCTCACACCTGGGAGGGAAGGTTATTTGCTTGGAAGATAATCCCTCTGGGCGCAGGGAGCTCTCAGCACGCCATCCCCTTTGGATGTGTGGGGGCTCGGGTGCAGAGGCGGGAGCTGGGACAGCAATTAGAAACGCCCCACGTGCTGCTCTTGGCTTTCAGCACATCCCAGAAGCTGCTCGGGTGCGGAGCACAGGACTGGAAGCTCTTGGTGCTTGACTGGTCGGTGAGGGTCAGTACGTCCAGATTTGGGCCATCCGCTGCGGCGGCTAGGCGGAGAGCGGAGCCTTGGGAACCTCCTGCTGCTGGCGTGGTGCTGCCTGGTGGACACTAGAATGTTTCCTCCATCCGACCTGAGTAATTCGGGGTGGGGGTTTCGGGTGTTCCAGGGGTGATCGCAGCAGCAGGATTGTGCCTTGCATGGAGGAGGTAGTACGCAATACTGAAATGGAAGGGAGAAAACCCACGGTTGGGAGGGACCCCTGGAAGGCCTTGGCCCAAATCAGAGCTAACCTCAGAGGTAGTTGGGGCAGCTGATGGCCCTGTGCTTGAGCTTGAGTATGCCCAGGAAAGCGATGTTGGTGCCCTGGTCCCGGGGCTGACCTGCTGGGGACTGAATTGGTGTTTTCTGGGAGCGTCTTGCTGCAGTTCATTCCTGTCACTTCTTGCCCTTGCACGGTGCGCTCGGAGAAGCTTGGCTTCATCCCTTCTCCGACAATGTTGACCGGATGGGAGGAAAACACGTGACAGCAGCCTTACCGTCTTCAGAGGAAGCCCTGCAGAGCGGTTGGGAGATGCAGGGCGCTCGGGGCTGACCCACAGCGAGCGCGGGAGTCCTGCCTGGGCTTCTCCATAGAATCATAGAATCAAAGAATGGTTTGGGTTGGACGGGACCTCAAAGAT